GCCGGAGGGCCAGCCTGGAGGGGAGGCGGTCCCGCCTCTGCTGAGCCTGTGGTCGGTCCTCCCCCAGGTGATGGGCCCGGCCTCGGGGTCCTCCTGCCCCCGGAACCCCGCTCCTCAGGCTGTGTGTCCTGGGGAGTCACTCAGCCCCTCTGGGCTCTGTGCCCGGCTGCAGAGTGAGAGCAGAGGGAGGCTTTGGGGGGTCAGAGTGGCCGATGCAAATGTGTGAGACCTTAGGAAGAGCTCCCCCCACTGCGGCCCGTCCAGTGAGTGCAGCCTCCGCATCTGTGAGACAGCGGGGGCGGGGGCAGTGCCGGGTGTCACCCCCATTCCTCGGGCACGTGGCCTGGGAATCCTGGGCTGGAGGGTGTGGAGGGTGGGGGTCCCTGTGAAACGAGGACACAGAGCAGCCCCCGCAGAAGTGGAGCCAGAGATGGACGTGCCTCTCGGAGTTCAAGTGCGTCCATCACAAATACACGGCCTCTATGGAGGGTTGTGGGGACCCAGAAACCCTCCGCCTCCCGGGGTCCCCTTGGGGTCACATGGTCCGCAGGCCTGTCCCATTCAGGTCCTCCCTGGGCAGAGCCAATGGGGACCTCACTTCTGCATTCGCTGAATTTCTGCTCATTAACAACAGGGCACCTGGGGGTGGGGGACAATGAGAGACCCTGGTGGAGCCTGGCCGGTCAGAGCGCCATCCAGGTCGCTGAGACTGTGGGCGGATAGCCATCAGGGCGCGAGCAACGGGAACAGCAAATCCACGTCTCTCCCTCCCTCTCTCTCTGGCAAATGAATAAATTTTTTAAATCCTTTTGTTTTAAAAGTAAGAAAATAGGACACCATGAGGGGAGAACATGGACTCAGCGTGACGTTCCCCGTGAGGCCCGTGTGTCCTTCCTCTCGACTCAGCGGCCTTTCTCCCGTCACAGGGGACATGCTCTCTCCCACCTCCTCACAGGCCGCACCGCAGGCCCCGGGGCCCTGGGAGGTGGCACCTGGTCCTTGGTCCCAGCCCCGCCCACAGCCAGAGACTCCGGAGGGAGGGCTGGCAGCCCCTGGAGAGCTTCTGGGCCAGGGAAGGAGGTCGGGCCCCTGGGGACCGTGGGACCCTTGCCCTCTTGCTCTGCCACCTCGGGGAGCAGTGGGGCTGCCTGTCCCCCGAGTCTCAAGGCCCCCAGAACTGGGTGAGACTTTGCACTGACCCGGGCTGGGGGAGGGACACTCTGCAGCCTCCCCCCTCACACCACCTGTGCCCCTCCTGGGAGGACCCCGAGGCAGGTGCCCCTGCAGATGGTGGTTAAGCCTCAGTCTGAAGAAGAATATTCTGGAAGGCCCGGGCAGGAGGCAGGCAGTGGTCTGTGCGGAGGCTCTCGGCTCTGGGACCTTGGTCAGGCCGGCCCGCCTGGCGCCTGGCTCACCTGGACAGTTGTCGGCCGTGGCGGCTGCAGTGCCCAGGAGGGCGAGGGCCAGGACCACGGTTCCCATGGCAGCGGCTGCTCTGATTGGCGGCATCCCGGGTGCAGCTGCCAAGGCGCTGGCACCTTTTATTGCTGCGTGAGCCCCGCCTCCGCTCTAGTTCCCTCCTGGCCAGGCCACCTCCTCCCCAGCCCCAGGGGACGGTCCCCCCACCACGCCCTCAGCCCTCCCTCTGCAGTGGCCCCCCTTCTCCTCAGTGGGACCAGATGCTCCGCGAGGGGAGGGCTGTGTGGGGAGGGTCTGCGTGTGTCTTTATTATTTTTATTAAAGATGTATTTTTATTGACTTTGGAGACGAAAGGAAGGAGAGAGCTAGAAACACCCAATGAGAGAATCACACCCGCCCTGGGATCCAGCCCCCAACCCGCCCATGTGCCCTTGACCGGGATGGAACCTGGGACCCTTCGTTCCGCAGGCTGGCACTCTATCCACTGAGCCACACCGGCCAGGCCTGCCTGCTTGTGTCTTTAGAGAAAGCACAGGAGCCCCCTCTCATCACCCAGCTCTGCCCAGGGGACCCCCCGGAGGTACCGGCATGACGGCAGGGGTGGCCGGGCAGGAACTCACTTGCATGCAATGGGCTGCGGGTCTCCAGAGGGTTAGAGACTCCCTGGGGTCCATGGTGGGAAGAGCAGAGGGAAGGGGAGAGAGAGATAGGGAGGGGAGGGAGGGGAGAGGAGGGGTGGACAGAGTAGAGGAGGGAAAGGCAGGGAAGGGGCGGGGAAATCAGCGAAGAAAGCTGAATTCCCAGAATGTCCCTGTCATCTTGCCGGTCAGCAGTGTCCAGCCTGCTCTCTGTGTCTGGTTTGGGTGGCTGAGCGCCAGCTCACCTGCTGGGTCAGGGCCCCTGGGAGCGGGAGGCGATTCCTGTGAAGCCAGTTTCTGGGAATTGTACACACAAGTGTCCTTCACCTACAAGTTACATATTAGCCACCGAGGCGAGTGCATGTAATGGACAATCACGGGGCCCGGGCTGCCGGTCCTGCCTGAGCCAATTCAGCAGAGACAGGCTGGGATCATGGGTGAGCGTTTACTCCGGTCCTGCCGGCAGCGTGGAGAGCCGCCGTCACCCACAGACCTGTGCTGTGCCCCCCGTAAGCCGGCTGCTTACATTGGCTCTGGCTCCTGAATAAACCACTTTCCTTGGGTGGAAGGACAGAGGTGACAGGGGAAGTAGCCAAAGGGCGAGCCAAATGGCCGCTCACAGGTCATGGGGGCTGGAGACCTGCACAGGCCTGCGGGTGGCAAGGGCTGGGGGTCTGCAAAGGGCTGGGGGTCTGGCTTCTGGAACAAGGTTGCTACCCTCCCAGGATCACAGGCAGCTCCCGGCGGGGGAGGAGGGGCCGTTTCCAGGTGAGCCCCCGGGTCCCACGCGCACCTCCCAGCCGGGTGGGAAGGTGCCTCTGTAATCAGTGCAGAGCCAACACGGTGAGCGGAGCAGGAGTCATATTTCGTACAGTGACAGCGGGTCCCCACCTTCTCGCTCTGCCCTGTCATTCACGGGAGTGGGGAGATGTTGACAGAGGAGATGGACACGCCCGCCTCCTGCGCACACGGGACAGGCTCAGGGGAGGGGACCCTGGGGGTTCAGAACTCAGGACAACGGCCCTGCTCCTGGGGGAGGGGACGCAGGCCTCCCGGGCGAGGGAGGTGACTGAGCCTTGAACATGGCTGGTGCCGTGACCTGCCTGCAGGTGGACCGGCCTCACCCCCTGGCTCCCTGAGGCAGGCCGGCTGCAGACAGACGTTCCCAGGATCATATTCTAGCGCCAAGGAAGCTACGTCAGCTAGTCACCGCCCCCCATTCCCTTATCGTTTTTCCTGTGAAGGATGATCTGTGAGCAGCATGTGATTGTGTACATCAGCCTGTTTTTTAAGAATTCTAGAGACGGTTCCTAGGAAGCAGCCTCCGGCCCCAAACATCCCAGCTGCCAGACGTTTGCTGACCTTCCACCATGATCTGAACAGATGGGTTTGTGGACAATCCCCTCAGTGGGGAACTCTCAACCCCTCCCTCCATCCCTTTGTTCTCCCCCGTGCCTCCTTCTCCTACAAGACATCTCTGCCTGAGTCCATTTGTTAAGATGGTCTTGCGCCCTGGCCACTGTGCTCAGTGGTTAGAGCGTTGGCCCGAGCACCATAGGTTCTCGGGTTCGACTCCTGATCAAGGGAACGATCCTGGGTTGCAGGTTCACTCACTGCTCCCTGGTTGGGGCGTGTGGTGGAGGCAACCAGTTGAAGTGTCTCTCTCACTTCGATGATTCTCTCCCTCTCCCTTCTCTCCTCCTTTCCACTCTCTCTGAAAAGCAATGAATACAAATATTCTGTGGTGAGGATTCATGAAAAAAAAATTTTTTTTTAAAAGGGATGACCTTTGTAAGGAGAGTCTGCTGTCTCCTTGGGCTGCTGGCTCCTGAATAAACCGTCTTTCCTCAAAGCAGCACCGGCCCCTGGAGGACTGGCGGCAGCAGCAGGCAGCCGAGCCTGGCTCGGTACCAAACTCGGCACTTGGAGTGTTGGCAACGACTCAGAGCACACGGCCTGTTAGAGTGACAGCCTGCTCGTCCAATGGAAAACATGTACTTTTGTCGTGGAAGGAGTGAGTGATTGATGTGCAAATCAGGGTTTGGGGACAGTGACGAGGCCCGGAGTTCCTAGTATGTGTATGTCACCCCATTTCTAAGAATCAGCTCATGCTCAGAGGCCCCCTAAAGGCAGACAGCGGGGATGCGGAGGTCGCAGGGTCAGAGAGCTGAACCACTGAGGGAGGGAGAATGCTTCCAGGCCCGGAGGCAGGTCAGTGACACCCGCCTGTCAGGGCAGAGTCAGGTCACCGGTCAGAGTCAGGTCAGGGGTCAGACTTGAAAGCGTGGGGAAGGGTCAGGGGCCCTCTGACGTTAACGCTGTAATAAATGGAACAAATGACACCTGAGGTGACACCAGGTGAGCGTCTCGGAGCCAGGACATAAGAACAGAGCGAACAATCACAGGTTCACATATTCAAACTGTGCCTTCCCAGGTTAGAGCCTGCACAGGCCCATGTGGGGGCTCCAGGCCCGCACCTTCTCAGGCTGGTGACGGCCCCTACCCTGAGGGTCAGCGGCATTCCCGCCAACCTGGTGCCCTGGGGCCAGTGGTCAGGAGACTTCCGCCCTTCCTCCCGCTTCCCTTGGGCGGCCCTGACCCTCAGCCCAGTGACGCCAGGGACCAGGCGGGAATGCGTGTTTCTGAGCATCCGGACATCAGCTGAGACCCAGCGAGGGCGCTTCCCAGGGTGGCTCCGTGCATCCTGGGTACTTTCTGTGCCCGACTGCCCTCCTGCGAGTCCCTGGATGGGACGTGCTCTCCTGTCAGCCCCCGTGTCCCCGACTCCGGCTTCTCTCCTCCTTGGGCGGTGAAGGAAGAGGCGAGTCTGCCCTGCACACAGCCTCCCCCCAGCGGGGCCTTCCTGCCCTCTTCCCCTCCCGCTCCTCTGTCTGTGCCGAATCCCACTGGAAAGCGAGGTGGTGAGTTGGCTTCCACCAGCGCGTCGCTGGGAAAAGGGAAAACACCACCCGCGCCTCTCAGATCTGAAGCTCTGCCCTGTGAAGAGCTCCCGGGTCTCCGGAGGGAGCGTGTTTACGGTGGGATCCGGCCCCGGGAGGCCAGGGAGGGGGGGCCTGTCTGGAGCCGCGTGGCAGCCAGGAGGCAGGAGGCAGCCCCCAGCATGGCCTGGTCTGTTTCCAGTCGAGTGAGACACCCAGGAACTTTCTAGAATGACAAGCTCTCGGGGCCACGCACACCTACAGGGTAACTTGTTCCCCCGCCAACTGCCCTTCCCTGTGGGCTTGGTAGCCCCCAATTGCCCTCCCCTTCTGACCATCTTGTGATGATGTGGTGGTGGTCATCTTGTGATGACATGGGCCGGCCATCTTGTGACATGAGGGCTTGATGGTCAATTTGCATATTACCTCTTTATTAAATAGGCTATTTTAATTGATTTCATAGAGGAAGGGAGGGGGAGAGAGAAACATCACTGATGAGAGAGCATCCCTGATGATCAGCTGCCTCCTGACGCCCCACACTGGACCGAGCCCACAGCCCGGGCCTGTGCCCTGACCCGAATGAAACCGTGACTCCTGGTTCATAGGTCGATGCTCAACCCCTGAGCCCCGCAGGCCCGGCCATTCTCAGTTTTCTCTCTAACGATCGGTGCTGGGACGGTGCCTCCCAGGCCTGACCATCCGCTGCCTCTGGGCGCTGTGGTCAGTCCAGCCGCCTGGACCAGAGAATCAGTGCCAGTGTTTACTAACAACGCCAACATGGTCGGGGGCAGCTCCCAGAAGCACATAACTCCTCCTTCCCAAGGTGATTATACTTATAATGGCTTCAGTGGGGAGCTCCCTATTTGTTTACCTAAAAGGGGGACTTCAGGATGTTTGCAGCTTGGCCAAGAAAATAAGATGTTCTACAGAGGTGCAGACATTGCTAACATTGCAGGCCCCTGGGATGTGGGAAAATATATTCAGAGTGTTACTAAACTGGGGTTCCCCAAGGTCACCCGATGGCTGTGTGATCGGCATCCCCTGCTCCCCTCCTGCCGTAATAGCACCACTACTGAGCTGGGAGCATTTCCTCAATGG